TCGCGAATGATATATTTAGATTTGCAGAACACTTAGTACTACTATCTAGAAGTAGTAGAAGTCGACGGTAAACACCCCTGCTAGAACCCCAAACTAACCAACCAGTCCTCGTGAAGAAATCAAGACCATCCTCCCAGAATAGGCACAGGTCAGTCATTCAATCACTATTATCCTGAAAAACCCGGCAAGCAATCAACAACCAAAGCACCTCCCTTACCCCTCTATCACAAAGCGCACAGACAGTCCGTCACATTCTATGATTAGAAACACAGGGCACAATCTAGCCGCGAACCGCTGCGGACAAGATACTATCCAGCATTAACCGCCCACGAAGAAAAGCCAATGCCGGTTCGAACGAATCACGCACGATCATGGAGCTTCCAGATACACCCACATGCATCGAGCGGGCTGAAGATGCCGCGAACTAGAAACTAGTAAGCCTGCTTATCCCCCAGACAGTGTGCAGGGTTCAAGTTTCATCATTAATGGACGGGTTCGAGTCCATGATGATTGATAGTACGTAGCAGGAATTGAAGTCAGCCTTGACTATATATAGAACGGGCTTTCCTAGTTAGCGCTGAGGGGAGTTGCTTCTGGAAGGACGGGATTTGTTTGTCTTTCGCAGGAAATGCTGGCTGGCTGTATCATTGATGCGCAGTGATTGATTGCTTGATAGCCGACGTTGAGATTTTGTTGATGTGCATGATTCGTTCGGGTCTCGCGTTGAGCCTATATCTATTATTGACACAGGCGGCTAGTAGTATACGTTCAAGACTTGTTCATGTGTCAGAATCAAACCACTTTGATAGTAAAATCTAACCGGGGGACTACTAGAGACAACCGTTCCGTCACCTTCTACTTATTCTATATTTGATATCAGGATCGCTAACCCAGCCTTGTCTGAATTGCTTTACTACTGCCTATACCTTGGCGCTTCTCGCGGACATCTAACTCCGCTGTATGAATTTGGTACACTGCAGTAGCACAAGGTGTCCTCCGTAAGGCGGACTATTTTATCGCACTACATCCTGGGTACGACTAGTCGATCTGGCACAGCCTCGGCTTACTCCGGAGTAGACATGAGGCGCTGCACCAGGCAGAAATCCAATGTGTATTCCTGCAAAGGGGCCGATGTATTGCTTTATTAGCCTGCAGGCAGTAGTAATCTGCATGTAAAGGGCACTCTGCATGAGATTTTATAAATCATGATGCAGCGGGTCGTTACGATCGGAACTGCCAATACGTAGAACCAATGAAAATACCATTGCCCGGGGAGCAATATGATGGAATTAATATATTCTGGATATGATATCTTAGAAGGAAAGTACTATATGAGAACAGCTCTGCTTCATTGTAGACAGAAACAACAAAGGGACTGGAGTTCCATGGTACATCTTGCATGCCTAGGCCGTCAAAGCAGAATCATGATGGAGACAACAAACATGCCTGCGGATAGTAGATTCCTCCCCGTAAGGCATCAGGGGACAATTTGCCTTGGCCAGGTATTAATAAGCCGCAGCAGCTCCATTACGAATGCGACTAGACAATATCATTAATAATTCCGATAAATGAAGACCTTCCGCCGGAGGGGGCATCGGATGGGCTAGTCAGGCACAGGTTGAGCGATCCTCCTCCTCCAGTGGAGCGCTTTTCTCCAGGTGGACAAGCCGTACTCCGTACGCAGCAATACCCGCCCCATATCTGCCTTGGTATTGGACCTCCTGTCGATAGTCGATAGGCATCTAATTAGACAACAAGTGGTGACCAATTTCCCTTCCGAAGGTTAGACCCGCTTTAACGCACACTGACCATACCTATCTAATTCTATTCATCTCCCCTGCGAGTCTCACGAGTCATTGGGGGGTGCAACTCCCGTATTTTGGACTTTTTGTCCTTTGTGATGAGACACTTTCTCAAAAAACAATTGGAAGTAATTTGCCGGGGGCGGCCCTGAATAGTAAGTAGTAGTAATTGTGATGCATCACTGAGGATGAGCATTCCGAACTTATGCCGTGATAAAAAGGAATGAGTTCTTGCAGCTGCAGCCGGCAATAAGATTCGGGAACCTGACGTAGGTGGATATTACCGTCTCCAACGCTATAGATTAAATGACCAGTAGGCGCTGCCGCTTTGCGGACAAGAGTTGGCTCGCTGCCGCACAAGATGAATTAAAGAATTAGAGGAATCCGAGGAGCAAGGTAGATACTACCCGGTCCGGCACATCCCCCAGCAGATAGGTCAAACCACAGAAGCAAAAGCAAATGGAAAAGTAAAACAATAGCATTGTTCACTGCGGATATACAATTGGATGCAGTAAGTGAGCGGGTTACTAAGCACTCAAGTAAATTCCGATATTTGGCCAACAAGTGGAATGAATGGAGAATAACCTCTGTACTTGCATTTGCCCCAGCCATCGCAATAATCCATCCCCGCTTGGCTTTCGGCTTAACGCCTATCAATTCTGCACAAGGAATTGTTGCTGCATGGTATGCACAGCATGAAGCTGGAGCTGGAACTTACATCTTGATGCATATTTTGCGAAACCGGTTGAAAGACGATACGGCTCTAATAGTATGTAGTCTTGAAGGATGCGGCGGGTAATTAATCCACTAGATATTCGTCATCACCTATTCCGATCTCTTTTTGCAAGGCAAAATCGGAAAATTCCAACAACCTGGCGCAATAAATGAAAGATTTATGCCTTCACGGTCCTTGAGAAAGGGCGTATCTCATTATGAACGGGACAAACTGTTGATCGAAGCAACATGCAGTACGGAGTAGATGTGGATTAAATCTCGAAGTCCGTCGGAATCCCCATTTATCCCGGATTCGATACTCGATTCCGCAGGAGACAGACATGGTGAACCGTAAAATAGACGTTATCTAGCTATGACCATGATCTGCAAGCAGAGCATTCATTCTCCTCTTTCCTACCCGTTTAAGTAGATAGTTTTGGGAAAGGGGAGGAGGGTCGACTCGTGCAAGGCTTAGATGGACCGCCAGTCGGCATGCAGAGAGCAATTCGCGTATTTTTGGTACCAATCCTTGTGGATATGCAACCTGGACTAACCGCGATTCATGCACTGTCTAACTTTGCCCCGTGGGCAAGGAAATGAAAGTCGGCAGATGTCAAGTGTCAACGGTAGAGATTATGTACTATGTAAGTGTCTAGTGAACCCTGTCCTACGTTGAACCTTCCATGAACATTCCTTCAACTGCTGGAGCTTTACTAGTTAAATGGATAGATACTCTACTACTCCGTATGGAGGTCCCCTATTTCAGATTCGAAGGAAGACCCGGAAGAATAATCCCAACTTATTCGATGAAATGTCCCCCCCTTTCAGAAATTCCCCTGTGGTTTTCGCGTCCCGAATACCTCCACTTGTCGGCGATCTGGCCAACCAGAGGGGAATGGCAGCGGAAATTCTCCACCGGAATGACCAGGGTGTAGACCACTTTTCCTCCCTTAGTGACCTTAATGGAGACCTGGGACCATTTGGCGGAGTACCTACCTACCTGGGCACTACGTACTTGGAGCTAGACCACTTGACTTAGTGGTCGTAGTATCTAGTGTCTTTTCTTCCGGCTGATTTCCCCTTAAAACCAACGAGGAGGAGATAAGTTACCCCTGGGTAATGTAACGAGGAGAACAAGATGGACCGGTTGAAATTGAACCGACCAATTCTTCTGCTGGTTTGGCCAATCAGGGATGGCACGTTCCCTTTCTGGTGAATGAAGGGCCAGCCGGGTAAGGTTTCGTATTGTCACAGGTAGGTAACCTAATCCTCCACCGGATTTGGCTTTTTCATCAGGAGGCTCCGTTCTCTCTCCCCCTAACTAACTCACTAACCGGTTCTCCGATAATCATCATCTGCTACTGCTGCTTCTTCCTTCTTCTTCTGGCACACAGTCTTATTGTTGTGAACCCATTTGGTGGCAGTGTTCTTGAATGATTGGTATTGTTTCACCAGCCAGGATCACCAGCCCAATATTATCGCTGCCCACCACCGCTTCAATAAGAGTAACATCAGATGTAATCTCATCTCATCTCATCCCCTCCCATCCAAATCCTATCCTATCTTGAACTCTGGTCACTGCGGTCTTGTGTATTATGTATTGTTGGCGTCGTAGTTAGTCCGCGGTCGTAGTCCGTACAGCCGCGTCTAGTAGCAGCCATCAGAGCCCCGATAGAGTAAAGGGCACGACTTACTTTAGTCTGGTGAGGCCATACATCATTATTATTGGCGCTACGACGGAGTTACTACGACCACCTTCCATCTTAACTGCTTGTCATCAACTGGATTTTTCCCTGCCTTTTCCCTCTCTGGCCCTTCCGTCCGTCAGGCTCCTCTCTCTTTTCCCCTTTTCCCTCTTTTTTCATTTTAAATTTTTATCTTAATTTTATTTTTTTTTTCTCTCTTCCCAAGATCGTATCCTATCCCATCCCGATTACCACTACTACCTCGTGCTCTCTCTCTCTCTCTCTCTCTGCTTCAGCAGTTGATTGCTTGCTTGCTTTCTTGCTTGCTCACTCACTCACTCACTTTACTTACAACCAAAAACCCACCCCCTCCTTCCCACACTTACTACTACTGCTACTACTCCTCCCTACCACTAACTAGTTTTAACCACTACTTACTTACTCTCCCTCCTCCTCCTCCTCCTCCCCCCCTGCTGACTTAAACGCCCGAACCACCTCACCATTGCCCCGGGTCGAAACTTTCTTTGCTCTCGCTCGGTCGCTTCCGCCGTGCACTCGCTCCACACCCAATCAACCCCCCTCCTCGTTCTCTCTACTCTCACTCCTTCTCCTTCCCTCTTTCTCTATTCCCATTCCTCCTCCCCCTACCGCCCTCTTCCCGCACCCCCCTCTCGCGGTTTCTTTCAGTCCCCTGGATCTCACGACGCCGCCGCCCGCCGTCAACTCAATTTCTTTCCCTCAGGCCCGTCTTCCGTTTCACAATTGACATCTTCCCTCTCCAGGGGCTCGTTCCGTCAAGATGGCCGACATGTCCGGCGAACAGATGCAGGCTAAGATTACCGCGGCTAGGCGCGAAGCTGAAGGCCTGAAGGACAAGATCAAGCGCAGAAAGGATGAGTTGGCCGATACAACTCGTACGCATCCCTCTTTTCCCTTTCGCATCCTCTTGGCCTCTTCCTCGCAATGGGGGTCAACAGCCGTCGTTGTACTCGTGATTGGCCGTGTGTTTCGATTTGCTGACTCTGGTTCCTTCTCTCTCCCCCCCAACAGTCCGTCAAGTCGCGCAGAACCAAACTGAAACCTTGCCTCGTATTGGTATGAAGCCCCGGCGGACGCTCAAGGGACATTTGGCCAAGATCTACGCCATGCATTGGTCGACCGACCGCCGTCATCTCGTCTCCGCCTCTCAGGACGGAAAGCTCATCATCTGGGACGCCTACACCACGAACAAGGTCCATGCGATCCCGCTGAGGTCATCATGGGTGATGACCTGTGCCTATGCCCCGAGTGGAAACTACGTCGCCTGCGGTGGTCTCGACAACATTTGCTCGATCTACAACCTCTCCTCTCGTGAGGGTCCGACTCGTGTTGCGCGTGAGCTCTCCGGACACTCCGGCTACCTCTCTTGCTGTCGGTTCATCAACGATCGCAGAATCATCACGTCTTCCGGCGACATGACTTGCATGCTGTGGGATATCGAATCGGGCTCGAAGGTTACTGAATTCGCTGATCACCTTGGCGACGTGATGTCGATCAGCATCAACCCGACAAACCAGAACGTTTTCGTTTCGGGCGCCTGCGATGCCTTCGCCAAGCTGTGGGATATCCGTACCGGAAAGGCGGTGCAAACTTTCGCTGGACACGAATCCGACATCAACGCCATCCAGTTCTTCCCCGACGGAAACGCTTTCGGAACCGGTTCTGACGACACCTCCTGCCGTCTGTTCGACATTCGTGCGGATCGCGAACTCAACACCTACCAGGTAATGCTGTCAATCTGTATGACGAATTCATCTGTGGCTGACGAATGATGTTTCCAGAGCGACCAAATACTGTGCGGTATTACCTCCGTTGCCTTCTCCGTTTCTGGCAGATTGCTTTTTGCTGGTTACGATGACTTCGAGTGCAAGGTAAGACCCGAAACCGCCCAATTAGTTTGTAGTATAGGACAACCGGCTGATCATATTTCACCACCTGCAGGTCTGGGATGTTCTGCGCGGAGACAAGGTTGGATCCCTGAGTGGTCACGAGAACCGCGTAAGCTGCTTGGGAGTCAGCAACGACGGCATCAGCTTGTGCACTGGATCCTGGGATTCTCTGGTAAGTTTAGCAAAAGCATCACTTTGGTTGACTGGGCTGTGCAGCATACTAATCGTCCTCCGTCTTACAGCTCAAGGTCTGGGCTTGGTAAAAAAGCAAAACGAACAAAAACAGCAAAGATACCCTGTCTCAGTCTTTTGCGACGTCCTCATTCCAAGTTTCTTTTTTCCTTTTTCTGCGCCACTAGGCTAAATGTCCGCCATTGTACGATAATCTTTTTCACCGGGAGCAAATCTTGTCGCCCTTGCTCCATAATGTACTATCTCGGAGTACCGGCAAAGTTACCAAGAAGCGAAAAATCACGGGGCAGTCAGGGTGCCTAAGCATGTCGGGGTTGGAATTCTGCCGCCGTTCCCAGCTGGGTGTGACGCGCAAGAATACGCAAAGAGAAGAGCAGAATGCCAACACGAACCGACAATGCTCGACTACTGGTGCGGTGGGTTGTAATAATGCTATTGATGTTTGAGACCTCGGGATCGTTGCACGGATATCAGTGCGTTGCTGGGCAAGAGGCAGCGCATCTCACATGTCATCTTTTGAGCTTCGAAGATTTGCAGGCCCCTGTTCTTATGTATTCGCGGGCTTGATTTTCTAACTTGTGTCCATTTCTTTCGATCTCGTTTTACCCTTCGCCCTTACTAACCCCATCCCTTTCTTCGACGTCTTTCCCCTTGTCTTTTTCTTCAATTTCTGACCTCGATTACTACCCTGATCGAGTATCTTTTTCTTTTCACTTCCACCTTTTCTTTCTTCCACCCCTTTTTCTTTTCTCTGACCTTTTCTTACTCATTATCTTCTGTACTTTTTGCGGGTGATGGATGGAAAGGGAGGGAATGTTTCCGGATAGGCCATGACGTTTTCCTTTTGACTCTTACTGCGATCTCCTTCTGTTACTAATCATCAGCCTACGTCTTGAAAGTGTCGGTTGTGTCATTTGAGTGTTTTCAAGCGGGCTTTTCCTTTATTATATCTGGTGTTGAAATCGACCATGTTTCCAGCAAATCTTTCCTTTATCCCTCGAGGGGTTCGCCCCCACGATGTCATGTTCCGCGGCACTCTTATGTCCCGGCCGGTGGTCAGCCAAGGTGTGGCAGAGAGTTGTTAGGCAGCCACTAGTACAAATGACAGGCACTACTTTTTGGAAAAGCTCAATAATCTCTTCGGAATATCCTGTTTTGTATCATTGTTCCTGCTTGATTCACCCTGCTTGGGTAGGGTTCGCTGGGATAGAACCGGGAGTGTCTGTTGGGGAGACCAGGAGGCTAAATTCGTGATAGATAAAAGGGCGCTGGGATCGCTTGCAGCGGCCAAAAGGTCAGTCCTACTGGCAACGGACCAGCGTACACGGGATGTCCCAAGTTATTAATAGTTCCCACACGCGTGGGGTCGGCTGATCTATCGCCCTATACTTACTTACGTACCACTCTCAGGATGAAGGATCTGCCCGCGGAAGAGGAGTAACGAACAGGCAAGGCAACGATTCCGTACTCCACCGGGGACGGGGCCAGATCAACAGGTACAGGATTGTACTGTTCAAACCGGAAGGGCAGGGCGAGCTTTCAGTGGAAGGCCAGAACCTGGAAGGCCATTGTCCGGATCTCGCCCGACGGCGGAGCCCACTGGATCTGGGGGCCCTATCCAAAAGATGTGTCACTTGTTGTCTCCACAAGGGCGGCCAGCGCGGGCGATGCGCAAACCGTTAGGATCCGAGGTGAACACGTCGAACGCAAAACTTACCAGAAGCGGTGTTGGGAGTTCTTGCTGAAGGAGAGGAACGACAGGATTTTTTCTCCGTGGATGGCGATGAAACACATCTGACGCTGCTAGATCCACTGGGGAGCTGCCAGTTGTCAGAGCAATGAGGATCCTGATTTCTATTTGGAGGTAACCATCCAAGCAAATGGCCCTCTCTTTGCGAAGTCCCATCCTTCGTGTCCTCCAGCACACCACGTCATCAGTCTTGCGGACATTGAGTTAAAGGTTAATCACGCGGTGGCATGAAGGTTTGGGGGGGTACAAGGGGAGAAAAGAGTGTGGGAGAGCCAAAGCATTGCCATGAGATCCCACGTCGTTGTGGATGAATTAGAGTGTCGGGTTTTGTGGGCTCTATAGTACGATTTTTAACATGGACTTCCAAGTCACATTTGAGCTAGCCATTCGCTTTAATTCCAGCCCTGGTCGATTGATATCTCGATCTTATACACACTGAATAATAAAAAAACCATTCTTAGTCCTCTAATTGAGCCCGTCAGCCGCACCAGGGCCACAGCCATTGGGGGATCAACCATGGCACCTGGGGCAACAGAATAGGATGAAATGGAAGGTTCTTCGCGGCTTCTTTCCCGGGGGCTGATCTCCGATTTCTGAAACACCGCCCCTTTTTCCTACTGGCTGATCTTCGCTTTCGGGCAGACCGTCCCTCAGGTCTCTCTTCCCCTTCCATCCTTCGGGCCTCGATTGTTTCATCTCCCGCCACTTCCTTCTTTCCACATCTCCCCCCCTTCAGCCTCTCTTCTTTCTCCCTCTCTTGCCTTTTGCTGCCTTCCCTTGGATCAACCCTCTGGATTTCTCTCTCTCTTAGGAAAAGCACCGGAGCGAAAACCATAAAATTATTCTGAAACGTGTACTAACACTCTCTGGGACACGCTCCTCTAAACCCCCCTATTTTTCGTGTTGGATACGACCCTTCGTCATTGGTTTCGCTTCTTTTTCTCGTTTCATTCGCTTGTTCCCCCGCCAGCTGCTCCTTACCAGGCCAAAAATCTTTGAATCCGAAAAAATAAACTAGGCCCTTACGGTGCCCCATCGTCGACGCAGATCAAGGCGCAGCCAAGCTCCAAGAATATCATTGACATTGTCATCGTCTTCGACCCTGTTTTAAAGCCCGGAACCCCCCCGCTTCCTCCTTCACGATGTCATCTGCTCAAGACGAGTTCAATCAACTCATAAACAACAACCGGGAGAAATTCTCTTCTCATCCTGAGGACCGTGACAACGACTCGGTTCACTCTTCTGACGCATCCTCGGAGCACGACGAACCCCAATTCTCCGACGCCGAAGACACTCCCTCTGCCATGCACTCCCGCAACCCCAGCAGTTATCGCGTCCCCAACACCGTGTTCGACGCCAACACTGGCCCCAAGGGTGTCATCGCCGATGCCCAGGCCTTTGAGCGTGCTCGCAAGAGCTCCTTCCGCAGAACTCTTCTCGGCGTCGCTGGTCTCGATCGCTCCCACTACAACAAGTCCGTCAACGACGACGCTACACTCCTCCAGAACTCCTCCCCACCAGATGGATCTTCCGCTAGCGATGATGAGGAACGATTCCTTCACCAATGGCGCGCGGCCCGCATGCAGGAAATGCAGGCCCGCAGCCTGAGGAAGCCTAGTCCCCGTCGCAAGTTGTACGGGTCTGTGGATATTGTCGATGCGGTGGGATACCTGGATGCTATTGAGAAGGTCACATCCGGCACGGTAGTAGTCGTCTGCGTTTATGACCCAGAGGTATGTTTTACCCAATTGTATCATTCGTCCAAGAACACTTGTCGCTGACCCGACCCTTCTATAGTCCACAACCAGCAGCATTGTTGAAGACTCTCTCAACACCATTGCTCGTCGTCAACCCACTGTTCACTTCGTCAAGCTCCACCACGAGATCGCCGAGATGGATCACATCGAAGCCCCCGCTCTGCTAGCATACAAGGATGGCGATGTCTTTGCTACGATCGTCGAGATCTTGAGACAGATTCCCAAGGGTCGGAGCTGCAGCGCAGACAGTCTTGAAGACCTGCTCAGATCGTATGTTTCTATCCCTGGATCCCTTACCAATGAACAAACCACTGACCAATTCAACAGATACCGTATCTTGTAAACGAACAAGCATTCTAGAAACGCTAAACATTCCTCTCTTCACGTTCATATGACAGCGATAATGTTCTCTGCACGAACAATTCAAAATGCAGCAAAGCGGGCGTCCAGGTCATCTTTATCTTCTTTTCCTACTCTTGCATCCTCGATTGGCCGGCAGTGTGTCTTGGTTGTTTGTTATTTCCTCTTGTTTCTCTTTTCATTTGTTCGGGTACATGCATGCATATAGACGGATCTACAGTACATACGTGACAGTACTACTGGTGTTTCAGGCAGGCAAGGCTGGGCCTTTAAGTTTACATGGTTGATTGTTTGTTTGTTCATTGCTTGATTGACCTTGAGCTTGAGATATCCAACATGGTTCTTGGGTTTCCTCCTTTTCGTTTTATCTCCTTTCAGATGTCCCATGATGTGTAATTATCCGAGACCGACTAACCTATATACTTATTTATCTACTGCTCGGAACCTACTTAGTACCACTTGTATACTTAGCATACACATCATGTCACCAGGCATTGTATTACATCATACCATAGCTCTCAAACACATAGCAAAACGGACTCTACACTCATCAACATACATCATTCACGCTACTATATAAATAATATTCTTCCCGTATAACAAAACCCTCAACCAGTGTATTAGTATTAGAACACCCACCTCACCTAAATACCAAGTACCAAGTACCAAGTACCAAAAGTACTACTACTACTACTACTACTGAAGTCAAGCCAGTATCCATCCATATTCAGGCAAGTAAGTGTGCAATCATGCTTCAAAATGAGGTAATTCTCTTTTTTCAATTCTCCCGCCTGTTTCACGAATACAAGTAGTACCCAATGAAATTATTTTTTATTTTGATACTACTAACCAAACCCTTCCCCCCCCAACCTCCGCCTCCGCCTTCGCCTCCGCGCCCCTGGTGCCTGTGTCTTTGTTTCCGCTACTTCAATATTGCACACAAAGAATCATTATTACCCATCCATCCCATCCGTCCGTCCATTTACCACTTCATGTTCTTTCTCCTTTCTTCCTGTTTTGTTTTTTTAATGGTGATAAAGAAAAGCAAACTTAAAAAAAAAGTACAACCCAAATGGAGAACTAGTAAATAGACAAGTAGGTTTAGGTAGAAGTAAGCAATCAAGCAAGATAGAACAAGTCCTAGTAAGTGTTCATAGATGCAAAATGTAGCCAAGTAAAGTACTCCGTAGTAAGTAGTTTGTTAGTTAGTTAGTAAACTTTGAGTGGAATAAGGGGGAGGGGGTTAGGGAAAATAACAGCCAGAGAGATACAACAAGATAGCAATTGTTTCGCCCAAAATAAGTTTAAAAAGAGATAAAAAAAAGGAAAAATATGGTGGGGTAACTAGTAAGTTATTGTTGTTGTCGTTGTTGTTTTTGTTCACAAAGCGCCTTTCTCCTGCGTGAAATCCCACAGCATCTTGATTAGGGTGTCTGGAAGAGTATATAGGTCGACGTGGAATTCTCCCTCTGTGATGAGATTGAATTGGTTAGTAAGATGAGATATTCGAAAGGGTGGTGGTAGCTTACGCTCAACATCATTCTTGGTATACGAGTCTGGGGCTTTGTTGTCGTGCACCATCTGTACTACCTGAAGGAGGTCGTCTTCGCCGAGTCGCTGCAGACCGTCGGCCAGCTTGTCCATGTCGACCTGGGATTGGGATCATGTCAGATGTGTTTCTATTATGATTCTTCTTCTTCTCTTCTCTGAGGCTGAGACGTCGCTTACACTCTTCTCTGTCCGCTTCTTCTTCTTGGATCCCTCCTCTCCGGCCGCGGCGCGTTTCGACTTCACGCCATTCTCGTCTCCTGGGACGGGTCCGGATTCGCGGAGGAGGGCTAGTAGGGCAGGCTTGGGGTTCTTGAACGTCTGTGCGGGAGAAAGAGAATTAGCACGATCAATGGTGCCCCGAGAGTGCTGGAAGACACCGAGAGCCATCTACTCACAATAACGTGCTTGGATTCGTAACGAGGCTGAGCAAAGTTCAGATCGTGCGTAACGAAATGATCCTTGTCGGCGGCAGTGAGGCCTATCTGCATGTCGAACTCACCCCATCCTTCCTCTGAGATTCTGAAAGGGGGGTTCTTGAAAGCTGTTCCGATGTCAGCAGCTGCCAGTGATCCATCTCCCTCTTTTCCATGTAAAGTCGACCATCTCTATCGCCCGGTTTTCAATGGCCTGACGCGAACCGAGGGGTATCTGAAGCGCAGAGGAGGTGACGTACTCTGAATGGCTCTGTCGCCGAAACTAGGGTGCAGCGTGTATGTCACTTTGTCAAAGACATTCGCAGGCACCTGCTCGCCGTGTTCGTTGACAAGGTAGATCTCAATTGACCATGATCGGAGGGGGAATCCTTCAACGCCGGAGTCTTTATTCCTGTAGACGCGAAGACGCGCACGAGGTCAGCAAAGAGGGACTTTCCTCGTTTCAAGCTTCTGCCCTTGTGTCATTCTCTGCGGTGGTGACCGTGTAGGAGCCCAAGCGCACATCGAACCGCCATCGCGCAATGACCGACAACGGATGTGAGAAGAAGGGGAGAAGGATAGGCAGCGATGACGGGGAAGAGAAGCGGTGGTGATTCATTCAGGAATGACTCGGGGAACCGGGAGGATTAGTAGGAGACAACGTACACGATGTGCTGCTCGGTCACCAATCTGACATTTCTCTTAACCTGTAGAAGTAGAGCAAAAGCGTCACGTCAGTGTCATGCGATCGAGTGGAAAGTAGACCGAGTTTGTTCGCGTCAAGAGCCAGTGGGAGAGGGTTGCCATTGTTGAATCTGGGGAGGGAAGCGGAACTCACGTCAGGCATCTTGAAAGAGGAGGGTGGATCAATCGCCCGTCAAAATCAGAAGAAAAGAACTAGAGGTTATCTTCCCAGAGACCCTTCCCGCGAAAGTCTGAATGGGGATGCAGGAGCTATTGGATGTAGAGGTCGCGCGATGCCTAGGTGAGGCAAAGTCGGATGTTTTGGCGGGAGTTCCTGTCGGGAATCCTGCAGATTTCGGAGCGGAGTGAATGGTTGTTAGCGGGGGGAAGAGTGCAGTTCAAAAGGTGTCCGACCAGCGAGGGATGGGGGTTAGACGTAGAAACAAGAGAGGGAGGAGGAGTGAGCGAGAGTGAAGCTTTCCGCGGGCTGAAAGCCGGGTGGGGGATTGGAAGTGGTTATTGACTGCCGGACGGCCTCTTTCTTCGACGCGGCGGCGCGACGACGCCCAAGGGTCACTCACTCACTAACTAACTAACCGCCAGCGTCCAACAGGTACAGCTACCCACATTCGAGTTGCATCTCATTACTACTAGCTTTTCTAAGGAAGGGGTTTTTTGTGCTCGGGAAATTGCTCCAATTTTCAAATGTGACATCGCGGGATAATCCATCTATTCGAAGTTTGAGGGAAAGAAAAAAAAAAGGGAAATCCCTCTACTACCATTATCATCAGCAGGGAGAGCCCAGTCAAAGTCTATCGATCGATTGTATAGGTACAATAGGTGCAGGCAGAGACTTCGTGAATTTCATACGTATATTTTGGGGGCATGTGATGTCTATCTACTGTGTACCAAGTCGTCGCACGACATGCAAGGGACCACATGGCCGAAAACCAAGGACCCATGCATGCATCGACTCATGGTCTCGCCATGACCGGCGTCATTAATTCTGTTTTCTCACGCAGGGGCAGTGAAAATGGTAAGGAGCTTGATGCTTGTGAGAAGAGAAAGGGGAAACAAAAATAAGTCGGGAAGAAGGTGAAATAGGTCTTTCATGAGCAGTCCACATCAGACTCGTTATGCTGGGGTAAGGGAATCAAAATGTTCATTAACAATAGCCCTCTATATCACTGATGACCGGGAAAAATCCGAGGCCAGGAACCTGCTTACTGCTGGCTAAGCAGCTTCTCGTTCTCTTGCTGGGCCTTCTCGAAAGCGTCCTTGAAGAGATTGGCGTCTAGAATTTGATGTTAGCAAACTGGAATTTCTCCCCACTTCCTATATTTCAATGTCCACTTACTCTCACTGTTGGCAAAGCGGATGGCCAGGGTCTGCGCCTCGGGTTCACCCTCACTGACATCGGCGGTAGCGTTCCAGACCCAACTGCGGTCACTGCCAACGTTGGGGCTCAACTTCATATCGGGAACAACTGAAAGATCGATTAGCCATCCAAGTCCATACCATATGATAAACGGCAACACTCACTGTAGTGGTTAGCGCAGACCTTGAGGGTCTTGTCGCGGCGCATCACGAGGCGGGTCTTCTGGTTCTCCTTGTGCTTGAGCAGGCGGACGTCACCGGTACCACGCTCCTTCCACTCCTTGCTGTCACGGTCGAATCTGAAAAGCTTGGCACGCATCTTGAAGGTCTGCTCCTCCAGCTCCTCGTTGGTCTTGGTCTCCACCTTCTCGGTCAGGCGAATGACAGGCTCGAAGTGAACCTCAGGGGACTCGGGGGCCTCGTCCTAGAAGTTTGTAACAACATGGTATTAGCCACTAGTATAGCCAATATAACAGGTCTGTCGTGAAACTTTTTGCAAAATCCAACAAAAGGCGGACAAAGAATCAGGGGTAAAGAGGCAAAGTGGACATCAATGGAGGGGAAAGCGGGGTAACGGTTCAAACTGGCGTAAGGGGACCATCGACACCAGCATAGCGAAAATCGAATGCATACCTCATCTTCACCCTTCTGGGCCTTGGAAGAGCCGGAGGGCTCGTCCTTAGCATCCTCAGGCTCCTCCTGCTTCTCCTTCTTGGGGCCACCGCCGAACATGGAGAAGACGCTGTCGGTGGTCTTGGTGGCAGTGTCCTTGACGGCCTCGGCAGCGGACTCAGTCACCGACTTGGACTCCTCGGGCTTCTCCTCGGTCTTGGTCTCTTCGGGGGCGGTGGTGGTCGTCTCCTCGGGCTTCTCAGCGCCCTCAGGAGCGCTGGTGGTGGGGTCGGGCTTGGTCTCAGCGACGTCAGACATGGTGGGTGGTATGCGTTGGCTGTCAAATTTATAAGCGGGGAAGTTCCGATAGATATGGATGTTTCTGTTTCTGGGGATGTACCTGGTAAGAAGGAGGAAAGAAAGAAATGTATCGGGGAAGTGGGAGTCACTGAGGAGGGGTGGGAAAATATGGACGGGGTTGTTTTGAGGTGGGTAGGTTCATTGCCTAAGCGCCTAAGGCCGCACTAGCGCCACCGCCCTGCAAGTCTGGCTTTGCTGATGCCGGCGGGCGATCCGCAGTAACTATAACTTCTGCTATCACTACTCCTTACAGAGAGACGTCTAGAGACCGAATTTCACTCATGAGGGAAATCGAAAAGGACATGCACGTGGCAAGTGTCAACATACTCCACTGATACATAATCCAGCATGTATTCCAGGAATTTATCCCATGATTCAGTCCGACCCTGATATCTGACCCATCCTTTCGCCTGCGAGCAAACCCCAATAAACCAGCCCAAGAAGTAATCAACATAGGAAATTACATGAAAGGAATGAATGTTATTCTGAAAGAACTACTGCCGAAATGTTGGCCTCCGATCATGAAGCACAGCGACAATAGCCCTATTGCGAACACTCCGACTGCTGACAAGACCTCCGTCTCACCAAACTTCGGGCTCTCTTCTGCGCCGTATCCAAAGCCTTGCATTTCCTCGCATCTCGGAGGCGTTCTTTCACCGCACCAAGGTCAAGTGCATGTGCATGAGAGCTGATCTTGTCCCATGTGCCACTCATCATCTCTCTGGCTCCTGTATGCACTTTATGGGTCTGAGCCTGCAGTGCAGACGAGACAGCTAGAAGTGGCTGCACAGCACCTTTCTTGACGACTTCGGTAAACTGCTCTGATCGGGACACTACTATGTCCTTCGTTTCGCGGGATATTTGCACCGACTCGGGTCGCAAAGTAGACGCCTCTTTCCGTAGAAAGTGGGCCCTTCTTACAACATCTCCCATGAGTACTTGCAAATCGGTGCAGACCCGACCATAGACCTCGGACAGTCCGGTCTGCGCAGTGGCAAAGTCTCGTAAAATCTGAGAGGCAATAAGATGGGCTGCGCGTTTCCAGTTCTGGATCTTCAACCACGGTGTCCCGAAGTCCACAGATGTTGTCTGTATGTGGGGCTTCGTTGTAATCGTAGTTAGTGTCACATCCACCTGACCGTATGCATCCGCGCGATCTAGTTTCAGCGTGTACACCCCGTCGAATAACATTGAGAGTTCATACTCGAGAGGCTTGCCATTCCGACTGACTTGGACGTGAAACTTTGGCTGTTTTTTGCCAAGTTGGTGAGGCGGCTTGATTACAAGATGGCAATCACCGACCACCTGGATTTCAAACGAGTCCGTCAATTCATGCCGTTCGGAAACATACTGTACGCCTTCTATCAGGTCGTGTAATAGCGTGTTGCTGCTCACATGGTCCCCTCGCAGCTCAGGGTCGCCAAGCGATGAAGGCAATACGGAAAGTGATGTCACCGTGTGCAAGAAGCTGGTAGCTGGGACACTGCTCGAAACAGGAGTGACAGCTTTGGTTAGTGTATGGTCAGCATATTGTCGAGAAAAGGTCGAGTTAGCGGCCAGCATGGCTGTATGGCCTAAGAATACGAATACAATAGATAGGATACTGAAAGCAATGAAACGATACGCAGACATCGACACCCCATAGTCGCCAATATAAGGACGAGAGAAGTCTTTATGGATGGACGTGCACCATTCCCAGAATGAGTTGGTGCGAGGGGAATCCAGATTCTCCAACGCCATTTGACATGGTTTTCTGGGACAGATGGTTGCTAGGGACGCCAGGTTTCTGTTGAGTTGCCCGGGTGTAATACTTTCAAAGGTCTTCAGATCGATAGGATACCTCCTGAGAACCTTGGACTTTCCGTCCAGGGCATTGCGGAATTCCAGACACATGTGGAGACTGTGGGGATTAAGAGGGACAGGGTCTCTAGACATCGTCCAGAGCGGCTTTTCCGAGATGACCATAGTCGGAACACCGTGTCGTTCCATGAGGATGCGGGCCATTTTCTGGCTCTCGATGTCTTCGGGAGTATCAGTGCCAGATAGGAAAAAGATGGCGACATCAGGTAGCGCCCATTGGACCGAAGATGAAATACAATAATCGGCCCCTGACCACATCGAAGAGCATGGTGGCCGACCCTTGAATTTGAGTGTGATTGTGCTGGGCTTGTCCATATGGGGATCCGCGGTAGCCTCGGTGCATTCGTCCACAATAAGCTGAACATGAATGGGGAGGAGCTCGGCGAAATTGGGAACTGCGCCTGCACCAAAGGACGTTGGAACGACGTGATACCTGGACGACTCTGTAGAACTGCTCTCGAAACCGCTATAGGTGCTCGACACTAACACATCCCCGATTTTATCGAGAATGATGTTTCGAAATTCAGGGCTGCCAATATATACCACGTGGAAAGGCTTGTCGGTGTCAAGGCTTTTCCTAGTCATAGTCTGCTGCACAGTGGCCGTGACAGTGGAGCCTTCTGACCTGTGAGGAAGCTCCTGCTCCAGTTCTGCTGTGTCAGATCCTTCGAACACTCGAATGGTATGCTTCAGTTCTACCCGTTCAATCTCGGGCCAGTTCTCCGGTTCAATGAACTCGATGGACTCAACCGACTGCCGTAAAGCTGTCTTGGTGGTTAGGTTGCTGTCATCGATCGAGTTTCTTATGTGAGGGAAGGCCGATGAAAGTTCCTGGGACACTGAAACGTTGCTCCTGGATTCATAGCCGTCACCATCGAAACCGTCCTCGTCATTTGTATCAATGTCGCTGTTGCTGGACCGGCCATCGAGACTTGCTACGTCATCAGGGCCGGTCTGATCGATCAAAGACCCGAGATCTGTCTGTTCAGATCGAGTGCCATCTTCTGAGTGTACGTCGGATGCACTCATCGTCGCCCAGCTTTCGCTTAGGGACTTGGAGTGGTGTTCCATTGGAGTTGACGTCATACTGATAGGCCGCGATCGCGATAACCACTCCTCTACAGAGGCACTCAACGGAGGGAGAGTGGGATATTGTAAGCTCGAAGCGGTTGAAGGGTGTTGGGAAGGCCTGGGGTGAGGCTCTGAAGAGTCAGCCATGGTGTTTGCGAGTGAATGTTCATCAGTAAGGTTCTTGAGGGAAAGAGCAAGTGAAGAGCTGCAGAGTGGAGCTTTGACCGGAAGCAGAGGACGACGGATAAGCTCAGGAATGAAGAGAATGAAGAGTCAGCGGAAGTATACGTTAACTTCAACAAAGCAAGTTCTGCTGTCTACTACAGGAACACTCTGGCTGGGGAGAGTCTGCCTGGATTGTCCGAGCCTAATAGGCAGATGCCCGATGACAGCCTAGGCGGACGATGAATTGCAAGTGGGGGGTGAGGCGCTTGATGCTGCTGTTGTTCCTCGCGGCCCGGGCGGAAGATTAGGTCAGGTGCCTCACTCGGGGCAAGATGGATGTAGTTCATCAACGTGTTTTCGGAAACTAGCGGTAAGTGGAAGGGGGAAAGCCTTGTAAAGAGAAACCGACCGAGGGTGAGTTGTGGAAAATGGGGAGCAAAGGTAGTAGGGAAATGCAACGGTCAAGGGAGATAGATAGATAGAGATGACTGGAGTGACTGGACCGGAAGAGAAGGTGACGGCTATCTTGCGCGGGGCACCTGACATGGGATATCACGGCAGTCGTGACTGGAGGTCACTAAGTATACATCCACCCTCTTTCTGGCTGGGTCAGGTGGGAGTTAAGGTTTCCGTTGCTCAGGCTTAGCGGTAAGAAGTAGTAGTAGGTGTATGTTGGCTGTCTATCATGGCTGTAGGAGACGCCAGTGACCCCAGCTCCAAACTATCGCCCCGATAAGGCATCCGTTATCAGGCGACTATCAGGCCACTACACCCGATCTAGACTAGTAGGCCCCTCCCCCAATCTTGGGAGAGGGTCCATGGAAGTCTTGGTCTTGATTCTCCCCTTTGACCCTTTCCTTATTTTTCCGAGAACTGAAGATGACCGAACAGATAGATAGATAGTATTATTTTACCACCAAATACCAGGGGTACTTCACATTACTAGAGTATCCCATGCAACTATGGACAAACAAGTAACTTCAAGACTTGGAACCATGAAAATATCTGGATGCGCGTAAAAGTGTAATTGAATGAAGGGAATAAAACTTCCCGTTTCAGCAGGAGAGAACAAAGAGAAGCATATAAAGTAGATATGTACATTTCATGACATGATGTGGGAAGAACGGGGCGTCGAACCAAAAAGAAATATTCAAAGGGGAAAAGAAAACAGCAGATTGATGTCCAAACAGCAGAATAGCAACACATGAGGCTTGCGCCAGGTGGTGGTAAGTAGGGACAAAAGGCATTTGTAAGGTGCTAGTATGGTAGGGATGGCCCGTTCAGCAGGAGGTAAATAAATAGGCCCCAAGAGATCTGCAACAATGTCTGCTCGTTGTCGGTCGGCGATCCTTCTCTTGTTCATACAACACCCCCCCCCCCCCCCCCCCAATAACAACTGGATATTTGCTGTTCGCTGCCTGACAATGTCAGGGGTAAGCCACGACGAGGGCGAATGAGAAACCACCCAAAGCATGTCTACCACCAGACATTGGGTATCGCAAGCAGACGCATCCAGCCACGCAACCTCGCAACGTATGTTTGTGCTCAGTACGAGGAACGACATTGCTTCTGGCCTGCCATCGGCCCAAAGAACCGAGCAGCAACGTGGTCCAGACGAAAATGATTTGGTAGCCGACTTGGATTCCCAACAGTACGGCCTTCTGAGCATACACTTGTTTTCTTTTTAGAGTGATTGCGGCAAACCAGGTGAGATATACGAAGCACGCTAGATGTATTTGTCCATATTGATGAGAATGGTCACACCGTCTTCCACGTAAGAAGCCGTCAGATCCGTATAACGCCGTCCAGAAACCCACAGCCAACGTAACATGCAGGCTCAAGCAAATAACTCCAAGGGCGAACCGAGTAATGCTCATAGTCGAACAAATAGGTACGGAAACCAGGAGGCGAAGATTATACAGCGAACATTAAAGGGCAACAATCCGAATCTATGGGGATGCCCATCCTCCAGCAACTTCGACCCATTCGGCGAGACAACTGCCCTGCTTGCCTTCAACATCCACAATGTCGGTGTCACACCTGCACCTGCAACCGACACCGTTCTCCTTGACGGGATCAGGGTTCGCCCAATACTCGTCTTCTTCAATGCGCTCCTTTTCGTCCTCGGTTGTCGTCTCCAGCCAGGGGATTCGGGGCAATTGCCGTGCAGGAGCGTTGGCAGGACAATGCTGAATAGTAGTGTGCCGATAGCCGAAGTCACGGAAGTAGTGGATGTCGCTGGGGGACAGGAGAATACCGGCGGCCAATGAATGGATAGGCGCATCACCCCACTAGATCAATCAGTTAGTCATATCCAAGACGAGGTCAGGTACGCGAGGACATACTCTCTCCATCCAGAAACCTCCACTCTTATCCATCATGTCGAAGAACTCCTCATATTCCTTGCTGCGGAAGAAGTCCAACCGCGCAATCTCGAAGTTACTCCAGAAGTGGCACATGTTGTACTTCTCGCCTTCCATGGCTTCCGGGTCAACATCGGGAACAGTATTTTCACCAGGCTCATTTTGGAGGATCTCCTCAGGGAGTTTCTCTTGCTTTTCCTCCTCGGGCTTCGGCTCTTCTTCTGGTTTCTCCAGGAACATCTCCCACAATCCCTTCGATTCCAAGTTGTGTTTCCGCTTGTAGGCAGATGCGTAGCGGAAAATGTTGGGGACGGTCTCGCGAAGCTCCTTGACAGCGATCGTGAAGCCGTAGGTCTTGTTTGCTTCCGCCATCTTGATGAATGGATCACTGATTAGGATGTCAGTATACTACCGATACGCAAGGATCCGTGGGGGGTCGTACTATGTGATATCGCAGAAGTACTTGATCTCAGGCTCGAGACGCCAGTACCATTCATATTTCATGAGCAGGGGGTGCTTGTAAAAGTGGCTATTCAACGGTCAGGATTAGCGACAGCGGAGTGGAAATGGTTGGGAAACTTACCCGGAATAGAATCGGCACATATGATGGTAACTCTCCATGCCTCCGTACATGATGGCGGCGTCACCCTGTTTCCGAACGCCCTCTTTGGCGACTTCATGATCAACCCAGTCGGGGTAACCCCACATAGACTCATCGATCTTGCCAAACTCAACGGGGGCGCTGGTGTAGTTCTTGACCGTCGCCTTGAAGGCGTCATCGAAATCACCATCGTTCAGGAAGACGTAAGGGTAGTGGAACCAGCGGTTGAAGTGTCTTTCAATGGACTTGAGCGACTGAATCACTCCGTCTAATTCCTTGTTTCTGGCAAGGACGACGAAAGCGGCATTTGCGCGCGGGGCGTCTGTTTTCTCGACGGGGAGACAGCCGGTAGCGAAGACTTTGTCATATTTCTCGCTAATTTTCCTGTAAAATCGGTGCGTGGTTAGCTATCGAAAATTCTGTATCTCGTGCCTAGCGAGTAGAACGAACCTGATAGAAGGCGGAGTACCGGCAGGGATGAGGATACCCCCAGGGGAAGCAGGATGTCGAACAAAAAGTAGTAGGATAAGGACTATTACAAGGCATGGAAATAGTAAAACAAATCCCAGGGGTATCGAGATCGAGGAGTTGCCCTTTAAACGTATCCTCCGTTTGAAGAAAGCGAATCTGGACAGATTACGGCCTTTCTCGCGCGACGAGTCATCTAGGGGCAGACTCGGCGTGGAGGGCAGCCATTTCGTAACCCGTTGAACGAGGCCCATGGGTGCAAAAGATGGGCCACACGGCTGATTGAACAGCGATGGCACACAGTAGTTTTTCAAGTATCAGCAGTCAAATGGAACAACGAGTTTCTCAGATCGAGACCTCTCTTGTCGGATATTAACCCAAAGGGAATCTCGATGACAAGAGATATGTACGTCCGCACGCGAGCGCCGAAGAGCGAGACTCTTGATTTATATTTCACTTTCCAAAGCCGAGCGATATGAGAACACAAGAGAGCGATTAAAGAGTATTATAATCGAGATTGGATGGAGAATTCCGATCTAGACGAAGCGAAGGGTCGAAATAAAGAGCGGCCGGAGGAAAGCCTCCTTTCTCGCCAACTTTTCCCTCTCAGTCGGCCAAGCAGAGGTGGGCGGGGGGAAAGTCGACAGCAACGCAAAGGACTGGTGTCCGGAGCAATGAGGCCGAAGACACGATTGTGGTCGACGAGGTCATTAATCACGATCAGTGGGGGAGGTGGCAGGCTGAGGCTGGGTAGAAGCCGAGAGCTGCGGGAGGGCAACCGATGGAGATGAAGGCTCGAGAGAGGATTATTTGGGGATGGGGATGGGTGGAAGTTCCGCCAAGGCCAGGGAGGCGCAAGCGGTCGTGGTCACAGATGGTAATTTACAGCCTACCCTCCAGCTCGGGAGTCGCGGCTCTCCTTTCCAGGCTGGTATTCTGGGTAACGTATTACACTTAGCCTATTTGCGGTAGTCCAACTGGTTCTCCCTTTCGTTCTTGTCTCGTTTTCACCCTCTTCCCAAATCCCTCTCTCTCTCTCCGAGACCAAATCACTGGCGGTAAATTATTGCTGACTTGGTCGGTTAGATTGGTGGCACTTTAGTAGAATGACCAAAATTACGTCTAAAAAAGGGACTATAGAAACCACACAACCCTTGTACTGTGATTATTGGAGGGCACTAAAGGGAAACGAGTCAAGACAGCACCACCGAGAGAAAATTCGGGCCTGATGAGCGGTAAGAACTAGGAATCTATTATCTGTACCGGCCTTACCGACCCAGCCTTTGGGACTTTGGAAGTTGGGAGAGTTGGTGCATGCAAAAGACCCTGAAGCTTAACCTGCACAACACGTCCTCCTTGAATCATTCTTAATTTTGGCCGGGCGGAATCTGGCAGTCGTCAGCAAGTGTCAAAGGGTATTTTTTCTGGGCCCTTTGAGTTCACGATCAGCATGGCGAACCACCTTGAAGGGCAATTAGAAGTTGAGAGACCACATTGGATTTCTATTTATGTTTAGTGTTTTTCCAGAACCAGTTCCTCTCGTTCGTTAGCTTGGCGCGACCGTCGTCAGACACCAGAGGGTTTAGATCACCGCGGGATGCAACCACTCTCCCTTGACCACGCATGTGTGTCTTGGTAAGTAGTAGTAGGCAAGACAAACTACCCTAAAAGGGGCCAACACTAGCTTGCTTCAAGCTATTGTTTTGCTTTTCTCCGCCTCTACAGTTCTTATAGAAACGAGAGAGCACCGAGATCTTCTTACCTTCATCTTCACACTTAGCCATGAGCCGATGGAGACGGAGGGACATGGCTCGTTCATCCTGTAATAAATGGATCTGTTCGCATCTCTCTCTCACTGTCCTGCAAACTCGGGTCCGAGATCTGACTCGGTTTTCGGATGCAAGTTCTGCTGGGGTTGATTCATTGTATGAAATCAAGACTGATAATCTCCTACACAGATGGCAGGAGAATAGGAGATCTGTAGTCGACTAATGGTAGCATTTTATCTACTATCTCATAGGTTACCTCTAGCAACCTAGCTACGTGGTTTACTAGGAGATAAATACTCCATACCGTTAGTTAAGTAGATAGAATAGATACTCAGTAGTAGGTTCTAGCCGGTGAATTCGGCCCGACTGAGCAGGAGGTGTATTGTATGGTAAAAGCGGGCCATTGGTACCTGGTGGTATTACGAGCCGGTAATTTATGCATCCAGAACCCTGAAATCCCACCGGGACCCACACGTGACCCCGGTCCTAAGGGGGGGAATCTGTCAAGGTGGCCTTTTAAGGCTTTACTGGGACACACGGCAGTCTTTATCCCGGATCCTGGATAGAAACGGATGCCTTCGTTAGGATCCCGAAAGAAACTCCCGCTTGAGTTTCGCCCAGGGCATGGCAACTGGCTTGACAGAGCTTATACATACATAGTAAGTTTGATCATTGTCTATCGCGGGATCTCACAAATGACATCACTACCGGGAGAATAACTGCAAGTTTTTCATGGCGCGAGGAAGCATCGTGCGGAGCTTTCGCGGCTGAGCTGTCACATCACTCAATGCGTCGGTGAAAGCATGTAGGTCGGTAGATAGTTTAGCTACCTTTATATGCTACAACTTATGTAGGTACACGCAACATGCATGCCGGGACGATAACTCATCTCATGCACGTCCGTCTTCAGGCATCATTGCTGGTACTGTATGTAGTGTAGTACTTACGTATTGTCCGTCATGATCTGCAGCGCGGTCAAGGGACTGTCCATCTATCTATCTACTACTCGATACTCTCCGGAGAGTAAGTAATAACTTACAGTACATACATAGTCCTATTATTAGCCACCCCGTGTGGGCAATCAGATCCGTGGATCTGCCGTGTATAACTGTAGAGATCATATCCATACATGATTCACGTAGGTGATGAACCCGAAGAATGTCGGGGGAGAAGACCTGTCTTGGAAAACTTAAAAACGTGGTGGTGTGGTTGTTGCGTGAGGGAGCAGATGATAACTACTACTAGTAGATAGTAGAAATGGGGGTCTGGGTCATGGCTACTACCCACGAGGTATGGGAGCCCGTTTCAGTCACACTTAATTTTCAGTCACACTTAATTATCATTGCCAAATATCATCCTATGATTGTTTTCCAGCATCTGTTCCTAATATTGTGGTTGTTCTTCCTCCTCCCCCTTTTCCTTCAAACTGAATCAACAAAGGGTTTCATAAAGGGAGTCTTGCAGTCCCATTCAAGGAAGGGGGGGGTGAGAAACCGGTCTATTGCGAGGAAAAGGATGGCAGAAGGCGCGAAGGTGAAACGGCAGGGGGAAAGAGCCCGTCGAGGGTCGAGGGTCGAGGTTCCAGCTTCCAACGGGACTAAACCCAGATGATCTCCAAAACAAAAAAAACGTCCATGCGTCCCGTTGAATTGGGAAAATTAGAAAAAAGAACCTCCGCCCCCTCTCTCCTCATCTCTTTTTCGTCCCCGAGAAAGGATCCCCTTTTTCTCCTCCTAACCCTTGGGATCCGTTTGGTGAGGGAGTCGCC